CTTCTCCAATGGATTAAGGCAAACAGATGTTAAATGACTTGCTCAGGGTCACATAGCTACTAAGTGTTGGGGGTAGAATTTGAACTCAGATCTTCCTGACTCCAGCCTCAGAGCTCTGTCCACTAAGTTATCTAGCTGCCTTAGGGTATATCTGGGTACCACTTATTTGTGATTCTGTAATTCCAGCACAAAGACCTTAACTTATCTAACCTTTATCTTTCCCATGCTCTGCATACAGTAGGCACAGAATAAATAAGGAATCAAATAAAATAATAATTAAGCACCTACTATGTGCAAGGGTCAGCCTTTAGCCCAGGTAAAAGGATTAATAAAACACACACCTATATTTAAAGAGTTTACAGTATAACAGCTGGGTGTGGCAAAAGAGGTGAGGAAGGGAGGAAATAAGTATTTATTAAGCTCCTACCATGTACCAGGCACTGTGCTCAATGTTGTACAGATATTATCTCATTGAATCATCACAACAACCCTGGTAGGTAGGTACTACTATTGTTTCCATTCTACAGTTGAGGAAACAGGCGAGCAGAGGTTAAGTGAATTGCCTGGGGTCACACAGCTAGTAAATTTGAGGTCAAATTTGAACTCAGATCTTCCTAACTCCAGGTCCAGTGTTCTATCCATTATGCCACCTAGCTTCCTGTAATAAGGCATTCAAATGATTAAGACGCAAGGAAGATTGTGATGAATGCAAAAAAGTAAGCCAGGACAAGTGCTATGAGAAATCTGGAGGTGTCCAGAATTAATCTCCATGCTATGAGCCCCACTGTCTTCCTAAGGAAAGTAAGTACAAAGACAAGTAAAGGAGGACCCCTTGCCCTATGGGGCAGCTAGATGGCACAGTGGATAGTGCGCCAGGCCTGGACTCAAGGAAGACTTTTCTTCCTGAATTCAAATCTGCCTCAGACACGTATTAGCTGTATGCCCCGAGCAAGTCACTTCACCCTGTTTGCCTCAGTTTCCTCATCTGTAAAATAAGCTGGAGAAAGAAATGGCAAACCACTCCCATATCTTTGCCAAGAAAATGTCAAATGGGGTCATGAAGAGTCAGAACAGTCAAAGGAGATAAGAATAACCCAGGAAAAGGAATAACAAAAAGGACAGTAGTCCCAAGATACGGGATGATTAAGAATCAGGTGAGCAACCCAAATAATTGCCAGAGGATAAGAAGATTTGATTCTAGAAGAGATCTTAGAGATCTTCTGGCCCAACACCTTCATTTGACAGTTGAGGAAACTGTCAAAGTCAGGAGGGATTTGCCTAAGGTCATAGAGCTGACAAGAAGCAGAGCCTGCATTGAAACCCAGATCTCTTAGCCCTATGTCCAACCTGCTTTCCTTGACTTTACATTGTCTCTCCAGAGAGAGTTTAGGGAGTGACCAGTGAAGGCTAGGGTGGCCAAGAGAGGTGGAGATCATACCTGAGAAGAGACTTGTGCTGAGGGATCTGTAGGATGGCTAGGATTTAGAGCTACAGGAAAGAGAGAGGGGCACTCTAAATGAAGGGCTAGCTGGGGGTGGGGAAGAGTACCAGGTATGTATGCAAGACTGGACAGAAACTGGCCAGGTTATATTGAAGTAGAGGAATAGGGGGAAAGGAGGCTGGAGTAATGCATAGGGCCAGGCTAGAGGACTTAGAATTCTTGGGAAGGCCTTAATGGTATTTATAAGGTAGCTAAACTTTGGACCTGCTTCGGTCTGAAGAGAAGGCCAGAAGTTCCCAGTTCCACCACCACTGACCTTGAGGAAGTGGAACGTCCTCTCTGGCTAATACAGCCAAGTCCCATTTACTTATTCAACGGGCTTGACTCATAAATTAATCCAACTCAATGAATCAAATATTAAAATTTTATTATGCACTTAGTGGGTACAGAACATCATGCTGATGTCAAGGAGAGATACAAAGTCTAAAAAAGTCAAGGGCCCAGCCCTCACATTGGAGACAGCACACTACAGAGACCAACAATAGGCAATATTAAGTAAGGAATGCTCCAGAGGAGAAGGAAAGGCTTATGTGATGCCTGAGGGAAAAAAAGCCCTTTTCTAAAGGTATTAGGACAAGTCACTGAAGACCTCAAAGGTAACTTCCCTACAAAGTTCTGTTCTAAAGCAATAAAGAGGCCGTGTGTGCAAAGGTCCAGATATAGGGAAGTATGGATTACTCTGGTGGCAGTATGTAGTCCAATTCGCCTGGAACGTAATGCCTGCCCAGCACCCGCACACAGTAAGTGCTTAATAAATCTCTGTGGAGGAGTTCGTTGATTTTTTAAAAATTATTTTATTTATTCCCAGTTATTTTCTCTTTTTAATATCACTCTTACTTCCTAAAGACTGTTGTCCTCTCCCTCCATAGTACTCTTCTTTGTTTTTAAAAGTCAGATTTTTTAAATGAATAAAAATAGGTTTTTCCTTCCTTCTCCCTGCCTCCCCCCTCTATTGGGGAAAAGAAAAGAAACACAAAATCCTTTGAACAAAACCCATCCTTGTCACAAGAATGATAAATCTATATACTGGCCATGTCTAAAAATGTATGTTTTATTCAGTCACATCTGACTCTTCATGACTCCATCTGGGTGTTTTTTGGCAAAGACACTGGAGTGGTCTGCCATTTCCATCTCTAGTTGTGTACTTACTATCCATCAACTCTTTGCTAACAGGTAGGAGTCCCGCCTCTCTATTAAATGATCTCCAATTGCACTGATGCTGCGTTGATGAGCATTCTGACATCTTTCAATGTTGCTTTCCTTTACATTATTATGGACATCGCATACATTCCTCTCCTGCTTCCCTGAATCCATTCATAAAGTCAGTTTCTCTGTGGTGGTGGGTATGGGACTGGATCTGGAGTCTTTAAATCCAGCCTCCCTCAGACACTACCAATGTGATGAGTGGTTTGTGGGCAAGTCGCTTAATTGCTGCTCGCCTCAATTTACTCATCTGCAAAATAGGGATATTAATAGCACTTACCTCACAGGGCGGTTGTGAGGGTCAAATATGACGATATTTGTCAAGTGCTTTCCAAATCTTACAGTACTATGTAAATGCTAGCTATTATATTTGTTATTTCTCACAGCAGAATAATATTACATTGCATTCATATACCATAATTTGTTTAGCTGCTCCCCAATCAATGAATACCCCTATCAGTTCCAGTTCTTTGCCCTCACAAAAAGAGCTACTCTAAACATTTTTGTAAGAGCCCTTTCTCTCTGTCCTTCCCCTCCATGGCATATGTGTCTAGTAGTGGTATTGCTAGGTCAAAAAGTGTTTTAGTTGATTGATTTTTATGTCGTAGCCGCCATGGTGGACACACATCACCCATCCCCTAGTGGCATAACCGTGGAGACATGGTGGTCCAAAAGTATCTGCCAGTGGGTAGTCAGACATTACAGAAGTCTCCAAGTTCCTGTGACTTTGATCTTGAAAGACTTCCACAGAGGAGTGAGTCATGAGGGACTGATGGGGAGTGAGGATGGCACGTCATCCAGAACTCCATTCTGGACCATCTGAGAATGTACCGGAGCAGTGGCCTATGTGGCAATTGCTGTTCTAATGGCTATAAGCTAAAGACCAGATTGAGAGAAGAGGAGAGTTGTTAACCAGATGTGATAGGGAGGTGGACAAGCTGGGTCCAGCTGGAGGAATAGGAAGCAGATCAGGCCAAAACAACAGTGAGTGGTGAGTGAGATGACCTAACTCCTGTCCACAATGCCATCTGCTATACCCCTTCATCCTTGAAGTGATGGACATGCTTTCCTTGACCTGTCTGACTACTCTCTTCCTGTTTCCTCCCCAGTGTGGTAGGAGGAAGAGTAGGAGAGAGAAAGCTGTTACCTCAGCTATCATACAAAGCAGGGGAAATTTTGGAAGCTCTGTCATGTTGATTGCTCACTTTTGAAACTATCATTAAAAATTAAGTGTCCATCTACCATGAATTTCTTTGCCTATGAATGGCGGAAAGGGATTGGTAGAGGTGAATTTAAACCTACGGGGCTAAAAGAGGCACAATCTGAATGGAGGTGGAGCCTAAGAGACTCTGTTTGCTATTAATAATAATCTTCCAGAATGCATATGCGTATTTAGATATTCAGATAATACTCCCCACCCTGTTCTTATTGACTCAAGAGAGAGAGAAAGAGCAATGGGTCAATAAGGCAGCCTGGTGGTGTGGGGGGTTTGATACTGTTCTGGCTGAGGGCATCTTGACCCTGAGGCTGAGGCTTGTTGGGGCTGGTCGTGTTGCCAGATGTTGAGGTCCCCCAACACACACACACACACACACACACACACACACACACACGCACGCACGCACGCACGCACGCACGCACGCACACACACACACACAGACATCATGAGGTTCTTGTTTCTTATGGGTTCTGCCCTATGCTGTAGGGGTATTAGGTTCTACTAATTCAAAGTTGATTTCCAGAATAATTGGACTGATTCCTAGGTGCACCAGCAGTACAAGTACATGTATGACCATCTTTCCACAGTCCATCCAACACATCATTTTTTTTCTTTTGTCATTTTTTCCCACGTGATGAAGATGAAGTAAAACTGTAGAGTTGTTTTAACTTGCATTTCTTTTATTGTTAGTAATTGGTTGTTGATAGCTTGTCTATCATTTTCTGAAAATCGCTTGTTCATTATATCCTTTGACCACTTATCCAATGGGGAATGGTTCTTGTGTGTGTGCATATGTATATGTATATATACTATAATTTCATATGTACTGTAGTTTACAATACTATATATGTGTAGAAATAATAGTTTATATATAAAATATGTCACATGCATATATTATATAAAATATGTATTACATAGAATTCATACATATATGTATATGAATTAATTTCTTATATATCTTTGGCATCAAATCTTTATCTATTTTTGGCAAAGATTTTTTCCCCCAGTTGATTGCTTCTCTTCTTATTCTAGCTGCATTGATTTTGTTCGTGTAAAATAATATTTGTTGTTGAACAGATCCTAGTATGGGAGGAAGAAAGGGGCAGTATCCTAGAGCTAACCACTTTTCCTTCTACAAATCTTACCACCTGGAAGAAGTCTTCTCTGACTAGTCACATGCAGAGGTAATCACTTTATAGTAACCTGGAAATATAGAATGCCTAGAATGTCAGAGTTGGAAGGACATTAGAGAATAGAACACAGAATGTGGGAACTGGAAGAGAGCTAGAGCATAGAACAGAATGACAGAGGTGGGGACCTTCAGTCATAGAACATACAAGCTGGAAGGAATCTGAGAACATGACATGTTTGAGCTGGAAGAGCTGGAAGAAAACAGTACATGGAGTGCCAGAGCCAGAAATGACTTTAGAACAAAGAACATAATGTCAGAGGTAGATGCAGGAGCACCTGAAGGACAGAGAATATCAGAACAGGAGGGTTCCTTAGACATAAAGACATTGGCAGCTGGTGGCTCAGTAGATAGAGTGCTTGGCTTGGAGTCAGGAAGTTCTGAGTTCAAATTTGACCTCAGAACCCTACTATATGACTGTGGGCAAAACACAACTTCTGTTTGCCTCAGTTTCTTCAACTGTAAAATGGGGATCATAACAGCATCTATCTTTCAAGGTTGTGTGGATCAGATGGGATAATATTTGCAAAGCATAGTGCCGAGTATATAGTAGATACTTAGTAAATGTTTTTTCCTTCCCTTCCCTTCGAGACCATTTAGCCCAATTTCTCATTTTATAAGGAGGGAAACTGAGGCCCAGAGAAGTTGAAAATGCTTTGTAAAGCACTATAGAAATGTGTCATTCTTGTCATTATTATTACTTAAAGTCAAACAGCAAGTTAATGGCTTAGTGGGGACCAGAACCCATGACCCTCATTGCAGGAATCCTTTTACGGAAGCACCTTGGTTTTTGGTTCATTTATGCCTGCTAATCAGGGTTTAGGGCAGTTGGCTAGAACACTGGGCTTAGAATTAGGGAGACTCATCTTCGTGAGTTCAAATCCAGCCTCAGACTATAGGTTGTGTGACCCTGGGCAAGTCACTTAACCCCGCTTGTCTCAGTTCCTCATTTGTAAAATGAGCTGGAGAAGGAAATGGCAAACTACCCCAGTATCCTTGCCAAGAAAACTCCAAAATGGGGTCACAAAAAAATCAGACAGGACTGAAACTACCCAACACTAATATTTCCCTCACCCTGAGTCTTCTCTCCTGGGTGTCCAATGCCTCTGTTATACCAAATACCTCAGCTCCCCATTCCCTCGAACACCCCAGTCCCAGCAGAGGTCTAAATTTCACTACCCAGAATTGGCCAGCCTTTCCTGGATGGGGGAGGGTAGAAGGGTGGGAAGGACCTGGTATTCCTTCCCTTCATCCCCAAGAGTTAGTAGGGCAGGGGCCCCCAGGTGGCTGGCAGGCTTCTCCTGGCCTCTGAGCAGGGAGTGAGAGCGTACTTCCTATATGTATCCTTCCCCTGACAACTCCTGTTGAAACTTTCTGCTCCCCAAAGCCTCTTCTCTGCTAGATCGTCAGTCACTCCAGGTAGAGGCTGCTCTAGAGGGACTCCCTGGAAGAGGGTATTTCTAACCTGGCTGCTTTGTTAGGGAACAGGGCCTGGGGAATTAGCAAGGCCTCTGGCTGCCCCCTATGAAGCAGCTCACATTTCTGAGCTAGGCCCTGGCCTAATTATCCCGCCTCTCCTTCCACCTCCAAATTTTCCACGCAGGGTTAGCCCGGCGACATGCTGTCTGTACCCTCCATAAAGACGGCCGTGTTGAACATTCGTCTCGCTGGCTGACAGCATGCTTGGATGGAGGCGGGCAGGCGGCGGGGGGCCCTGGAGGCTGGAGCTGGGGGTGGGGGGAGCTGGGCAAGGGCCTGGGCTATGTCATGACTCAATTAGCTCTCTGCTTCCTTCCAGAGCCCAAGGACCTCCCCCAAACCTCTGGACTTTTTGCCTCCACCCAATGATACTGATGCCCTTTTCTTCCTGGGAAAGTACAATTTCCTCCCACATCTTTGGGAACATGCTTCTCACCCTCTGGAAGAGTCATTGAACCATAGAGTTGCAAAAGACCATGGAACATAGAATACAGAATGTTAGAGCTGAAAGACATTTGAGAATGTTAAGATATGAGCTAGAAGGGGGCCTTAGAACGCAGGACCCAGAATATCAGAGTTGGTATGGTTCTTGGAGCTCAGCTAGTTCAACCACGTCATTATATAAATGGAGAAAATGAGGTACAGAAAAAAGAAGTGACTGGCCTAGGGCCATTTTGAAGAGTGTAGAGGAATTGCTGTCATTTTGGTTTCAAGATCTCTTGAACTACTTGACCCAGTTCCATGGTCCCTCAGGGTAGCAGGAAAGGGAAGGAAGGTAGCCTCATCTGAAAAAAGGGGGATTTTGTGAGCTAGAGGCCTGACTTGGGAATAGAACCCAGGTTTCCTGAACTCTGGTAGGGTTCCCAATTAAAGATGCCAGACAACACAACAGGCCTGGAAGAAATGAGATCTGCAGACCTTTTGGAGGCCTGCCTTAGGTGTGCAGTCCTTTCTTGTGGGCAGATAGACCAGTGCTCTTTTCTTGGAGAAGCTTTGCTCAGTGGAGAAGAGGTAGGAGGCATTAGGGACCCTAATTAGGACCTAGACACAAGGAGGGGAAACCCAAAGTCATTTAGGAAATTGGATGGGGTGAGATGATGTTTAACGTTTGTTTGTTTGTTTTTAAGGCAATTGGGGTTAAGTGACTTGCCCAGGGTCACACAGCTAGTAAGGAGATGATGTTGATGAAAACTTTGTTTGGGATAACAGGAATGGGGAGCCAAAGCAGGGGAGAGGTTAGCTGAGGGAAGGAAAGGGAAAGAAGAAGCAAAGACGGGTCTCAGAAGCTAGGTTTCCCTTCCCTTCCCCCCATCTCAGGCCTTGGTGCTGAGGAAAGTTTATTTCCAATTTGATGGGAAAACCAAAGTTCTGCTTGGGGAGTGGGGGGGGGGAATAGACCTGAGCCAACTAGGAGCCAGGAGGGTGAGAAATCTCTCACATTGTAAAAGGCTGTGGCCCAGGGCTCTCAGTTTAAGCCCTGGGACTGGAGCCTGGAACTGCTCTCTGACTTCTGGGTTTGGGGGGAAGGGCTGGGAGTTTGCCTTTGCTTTGGCCTGGATTAGCTGGGAAGACCTTAGGGCCTGGAGTAGTAGTCAAAGTATCCCTTAGGGTGAGTGTGTGTTACTGGCTGGTGGTAGTGGTGATGGTGATGGAGGTGTTTGGGAGCTCTGATTCAATCAGTGGAAGAAGCAGGTCTTCTGATTCACATAGTCTGGGGTTTCCTCCATTCTACTCCGTTATACATGTATATTCAATTCACCTACAGATGTAGTTAATGTCTTCTATGAAATCAGCTTCTGAGACAGATGATGCTGATGCAGATACAATGGAAGACATAACTGTATGCTACCCATGGAACATGGAAATACATTTGGTTGAATGTCATATAGTATGCAAATAAAAGCTACTTCTTCAATATGGAAAAATAAAACAAATAAAATATATGTGTGTGTAGATGACTTATGGGGTTTTCAGTATATTAACTAAATTCATCATATTTACTTGGGAGTCAATCAATAATCTTGGCAAAGATATTGGAGTGGTTTGCCATTTCCTTATCCAGCTCATTTTCCAGATGAGGAAACTGAGGCATACAGGGTTAAGTGACTTGCCCAGAGTCACATAGCTAGTAAGTGACTGAAGCTGGATTTGAACTCAAGTCCTCCTGACTCCAGGCTAGGCATTCTCTCCACTGAGCCACCTAGCTGCACAGCTAAATACCTATCATGCCCATTTAAGAGGTACATAAACTATGTGAAAGGAAAAAGGATCTGAGCATAGGACAGGGCCAGCTGGAAATCAGGGATTATAGATTCAGAAGCGAAAGGGACCTCCCAGGCCATCCAGTCTAATCTTCTCATTTTATGGATAGGGACAGGGTTGTTTAGGGAGACTAAAGGATTTGCCCCAGGTCATATAGGTAGTGAGCCTCAAGGACAGGATTTGAACCCACATCCTCTGACTCCAGAGTTGATATTCTATTTCTATACTACTCTGCTTCCCCAGTGGGGGTGAGATAGGGGTGAAATTCTGGTGTTGCCAGAAAGACCCGGAGTGAGAAAGGCAGGGATTGAAACTCTGCCTAGTTGGGTGTTCCAAAATAATAATAATAGATGATGATAGCTTTAAAGTTTGTAAAGCACTTTACATATCTTTTTTGAGATTTTGATTTAGAATTTGATCTTTAGGACAACCTTTTGAGTTGAGGGTCATTATTATTCCCATTTTACAGGTGAGAAGACTAAGGTTGAAAAAGATTAGGTGACTTGGCCAGGGTCACACAGCTTGTAAGTGTCTGAGGCAGACTTGTCTTCCCGACTTTCCATCTAGTGCTGTATCCACTACACTAGTAGCTGATGTTTTTATAGGCTTCACAATTCCCCACATTACCTCACCTGATCCCTACGAAGAAGTTGGGTAGGGATTATCTTCTCCATTTTATATGGATAAAATAGACAGAGGGGGGTAGATTGTAATCTCGCTCAAGATTCCATAGCTAGGAAGTCGTCTAACTGGGAGCCAAGGACCCTTTCCAAAAGATTGCTCGGTTGGTCCCAGCTGACTTGTCCTCTACAAGGAGACACATTCCACTTCCCAGGTAGGAGGCATGAGAAAAGCCCCCCTCCCTCCCTGCATCCCTGCCAGGAGGCTAAGGAACCCCTGGGTGTCTAGGGATCATAGGTGAAAGCCAGATGGCACCAACAGGCCTGTAGCTAGGTGCTGAGGAATAGGAAAGGGGAGGGGGACCTCCTGCCCAACTGTTTCCTTATTTCCTGTCTCCCTCCTTGCAATCAGTCATTCCATTCTTCTCCCCTAGACATCCGCCTGGTCCATATTTCTTAGGGAATCAAGATTTTGTTCAACTAACCAGTAGGCAGTGTGCTGCTAGCCCCAGAGGACCTGGTTTCGATTTAGAGTTGTGTGGCCTTGAGCAAGTCATTTCCCTTCCTCAGGGCCTCAGTTTCTCCCTTTGCAAAAAGAGAAGAGATGGGACCAGACTGGTTTCTAGGGTGCCTCTTCCAGCTCAAAATCCTGGGAATGTACATCATCAAATAAGTAGTTGGGAGAAGTTGGGGAGCTGAGAGAAGGGGAGCAACAGGGAGGGGGAGAAGGAGGCATGCCGGCTCCAGGCTGGGGTATATAAAATTAACACCTTAGCAGGAGGGAGGCTGCCCAGGGAAACTGGCTTTTAAACATGGGAATGGAAAGCAGATGGTTTCTGATTGAGCCCATATGGGATGGAGGGGGAAGGGAAGGGAGGGAAGAGAGGAGACATTCCTCTCTGCAAACAGGCCTTTCAGGCTAACAGGAAGCAGGTCTCTGCCTCCCCCTAAATCCCAACACAGCCGCTCCATCCCCCCCTCCTCCCAAGCCACAACCCCCAGCAGCAGCAGGAGCCAGAGGAGCTGGGAGACTTAACAACAATAACAAATGTGCCCGCAGTCACCATGGAGCCAGGGAAAGAGAGGGCCCCCAACCCCCTCCCACCTCACAGGCTGGAGGGGGCTTCAAGGGAGGCAGGGTGGGCTGGTGGAAAAGCACAGCTCCTGAGGAGTCTGACTGCGGAGCCTCTGCCATGACTGCCTGCATGACCTTGGACAAGTCACTTCTTCTTGGACCTTGGTTTTCCCACAGGTAAAATCAGGGGGTGTAGATGGACCTCTAAGTTTCCTTCCAGCCCTTTCATTCACTCAGTATGCTTTAGCGTATGCTCCCTTCTTGCAACAACATTCTGTGATTCTCTAAGGGCTCTGGATATACCAGACATTCAGGCTATGCATTTGCCTAGCAGAGGTGGGAGGGACCATATACGAGTGAACGCTGTGAACACAGAGCATTAGAAGGCCTCCTGCATCCCTGTCAGAAGGCCAAGGAGCCTCTGGATGTTCAGGGATCCACCCCTTCCTTTTACAACTGGAGAGGCTGGGGCTGAGAAGAGGCAGCGGACTTGGCCAAGGTTCTGGCCCTCATTTGTTGGTATCATCTTAGACATGTCACAGGGTTCTAATGAGTTCAAATATGATTTTAATTTCCACAGTTTGGGTTTGAATCTCTACTCTGTTATTTAGTAGCTGTGTGACCCCTCCATTTCATCCCCCAACAAAAAGACTCAGGCCCTTGTGCAGCTGGCCCAGGCCTGAAACCCAAGGATGAGAAGTAACTTGAGGAAGATCCATTATGGAATTTACTTTCTAATGTCCTCTCTAGCATACATACCTCATTTTAGCCAAGCTGGGTTTTTTACTTTCTCCCCCAATATACTCCTTGCCTCAGCCCTGATTTCCATCTTCCTTCCTTTATGTTGAACCAAATCTTCTCCATTCCTTAAGGTATGCCTCATATTCCTTCTCCTCTGGGAAGCCTACTCTGACCAAAACAGGTCTCCCAGTGATCTCTCTCCCTTCCAAACTCCTGGGCCAGGGAGGATCCTGTTCATAAACTTTCACAACTGGAGAGGACCTTAGAGATCATTTACTCCAACCCCTTCATTTTGCAGATGAGGAAAATGAGGATGAGAGCGATGGTCCCACAGGTAGGGAACAGCAGACCCAGGCTAAAGCCAAATCTTTGGACTCAAAATCCAGTACTGTGTGGATTCCAGGTGCTGTCTAGAATAACAAGGAAAAGGAGAGCCTCAGTCCCCATCCTCACACTTTGCCAATTAGAAATTCTTGTAAAAAGTCGATGGCCTCTGTAAGGGCAATGTCTATGGGCTATTGCAAACTCTGTTATTGATTTGTTTTAGGCAACTATCAAGTAGGACACCCAAGTGAGATGAGCCTCGATGGATAGGAAGTATGACTGTTCTTGTTTTTGTTTTGTGGGATGCAGGAGAAAAAGACCTTAAGTACTAACTTTTTGTATTGTTTTCTGTACCCTTACAGGCTTCCTGGCATTGTGAATAATAATAATAATAATAATAATAATAATAATAACTAGTGTGTGTATAGCATTTTAAAATTGGCAAAGCCCTTTACAAATGCTTTTAACAGCCTTGG